CTGTTGGACAAAAATTGTTCTTAATTACAAGTCACAACAAAGCCAGGTCACCATCAGTCTGTGATTTCATGGCCTTCCTCAAATAGGCCGTGCTGATTTTCTCTCCAAAAACATAATTATCTGACTTTTACTTCCTGGCTCCACCATGATGTCAATTAAAAGCAAGCTTCTTTTTTCTTCTTATTTTTGTGCTTTTTAGTGACAGCAAAATTTAAAAAGCTAACTGCTAGCATTTTGTTAGCTACCAGCACAGAAAAAAAGCTAACAGCTGAATAAGCAGGTAAAGAGCACCCCCAGGGCACCTACCTGCTCCACAAAACTCTTAAGTGCTGTTTGTGGTCAGCAGGTATCTGTCCCATGTGAAGTTGGAAAAGTTCTACCAACACAATGACTTAACCCCACTTTTTATGGAATTGGCTAAAGTGTAAAAAGCGGTTTAGTGTCACTTTAAGGTTGAGTCAAGGTGACTTTATTTATGAAGCACTTTAAAAACAGCCAAATCTGACCAAACCCCAACTGGATAAAATACAATCAAAACATAAATAAGCTGCAATAAACCATGAAAAACCACTGAAATTGAATAAAATGTAAATAATGCATACTGGGTTAAAATTCAAAGTAAAGAGGTGGGTCTTTATTCACCAGGCGTGTAATGATGTCTATCTAAATCAGCGAAAGATTATCAGTCTTGTTTTAGTTACGGCCAATCACAGTGCTCTAAATTTGTTAGGCTGGCTTAACACTTGAGGTGCAACTGAGAAAAACTACAAATATGGCGTCAGCTCAGGAATGGCGCTCGTTTGAAATGTCTTTGGCATCAACTTTCAATTATTTTAACTTGAGCTTTTCTTTGAGACATAAGCAGATAGAGGTACTCAAGTACTTCATTTTTAAAAAAAGTATGTATTTGCTTCTTCTTTGATTGTGTATGGCAGAGAATCGTAACGATGAATATGTTACGTTATTCGTTGCTCTGATTGGAGACAGTTTGAAAGACAGTCGTAGGTTGTGCCCCAAAACAGGGTGGATCCTCTACCTCAGGGGTCCTCATTTATAATGGTCCGAGGGCCACACACAAAACAGACCCAGAAGCAAGAGGGGCCGGGGGCCGGGGGGGGGGGGGGGGGGGGGGGGGGTTGCTGCTGCTGTAATGCACATAACACACAAGCTTGCAATATAAAGCAGGACAACACTTGTCCCCCTCCAGCTCGGCTGTGTGACTGCACTAACCTGTCCTGTGTAACCCTCAACATGTGACCCTCATGTCCATGCCGTCTCTAAAGGAACAGATAAGATCTCCTGTAACTTAAAATTAACCAAAGCTTCCTCCCAGTTTCTCTTTAACTTGAATTTATCATCAGTTCATCATCATGAAACAAAAGAATAAAGTGGAACAAGAACTTCTATCTTCCATTTCTCTCTCCTTTTAACTTCTCTGTGTCCCTAAATAAAAGAGAGATGATTACGCTGCAGCCGCCATCACTGACCCCGCTCCCTCCCCAAGACCGGACCTCCCGACATCACAGCACTCGGTCTGATGGAGCGCTTCCAGGAGATGAAGTTATTAAAAATAATAACGCGTTTGGAGGAGCATCCTCTGATCCTCTCTCCTGTGTGAGCAGACAATCTCCCTCTCTCTCTCTCTCTCTCTTTCTGTCTCAGTCGCTGATCGAGGGGGCGGAGCATGCCGCGCGGCAACCCGCTCAATTAGCATAATTTACGGTCCAAATCCAACAGAACCGGTCGGGCTGATTCGGTTCGGGTTTGGTCTCAGGTTATAACTCCAGTGCTCAGCCCTGCAGCACCACATAAAGGCGGATCAAAGTTTCCTACCCGGTAAATGTGGAGAACACCGCTCTGACAGATTTGGATGCTGCGCTGGTGCCGCCGTTAAAATAACAAAACTACATTCCACTATAATTGATTATGGTTCTCCTCTATGATGCAAATTTTTTTATGCCCACATTTCATGCATTGATTATTTGACTATTTTCCTCAGCTCTGTCTATCCTACACCTCCCGGTCGGCCGTCGGGGGTGGGGGGTGCGCGCGGGGTTTGGGGCCACAAAGAGGGCCCGCGGGCCGGACGTGGCCCCCGGGACGCCATTTGCGGACCACTGCTCTAGCATAAAGATTCCATTTGGTTAGTTTAACATCATCTTTCTGAACTTCACATTATGACTTTACTAGTGGGTGGGTTGAGCATGTAGTCCTGATCCATCAGGTTTGTGACAGAGACTTAGCTTTAATCCTGAGTAGACTTTAAGATTTGCTCTTCTTGATTTCCAGGCAATGAGGCTTGAGTAACATTATGTTTATGTTATTTTTATTCTTTTTGCAGACACTTTTATCCAAAGTGACTTACATTTTATGACCTATAGGGCATGCTGTGATTTGTGGGGGAAACCGGAGCCCATGCAACATTAATTTTTTTCAGCTAAACATGACCTTGCTACATGTAGTTGTCAGGAACAAAGCGTCGGCTTCTTCTGTATTCATTTGCATCTTTGCTTTGTTTTCACTGGAAGAGGGTGGAAATGAAGACGTGAACATGTTTGTTACAACACGAACACGGATGTGCACCACAGAGCCTGTGATTCTTTTTGTTGGGCTGCTTTGGCAAGTCAAATATCTTGCAGCTGCCACCTCCTGAAGCTGTGTTACCAAATGTTAGCTTCTCATTTAAAAATGTGAAACGGTCTCTGGTAATGTCTTAATCATCAGCCATCAAATGGTGACGTTTCTGAGTGTACACAACCCAAAAAACAGAGGAAACTGAGACATTTGTCTTCAGGCCATTTTAGACTTGTACAATCCCCGTATATGGCTGCAGTTGTGTTACCAGATAAATCATGTTTTGCATCCATTTGTAAACAGCTTCACTTAAACAACATGGCTTCCTTTGGAAAGAAATGTCAGCATCTCCTGCCAGGACAGAGCTCAATAAGACTAAATGTGGTTTGCAGCGGTTATTTCCCTAATTTCTAAAGCTTGATATGTTCTCATTCCATGCTGGTTCTAATTGCATGCTCACCTACGTACTTGTTCTAAATATAGTTATGCTCCTGCATACTCTGAGGTTCTAAGATTTCCCCACAGAGGGAGGAGAGCTGAGGTGGATACTAATGTCTTCTGTAATTGAAATTAACAGTCTCACACACATGGACCTTCAGAATCAGTCTAATTGCCTCCCTCATTTAAAAACATCTGTTGCGTCTTTGCAATCTGCACCAGGTTTCATATAAAATGGGATTATTGGTGCTGCTGCATATGGTACAGAATGTCATTCTTTTTTCTCGGCTAATTTTGCGACAGCATGCTGAAAGTGATGTAACAGTCTTTTGATGCTGCATTCTCCAGTCCATGTTCTTCACCGTGGCCTCATTGTAAAAGGTCTCGCTCCTCTGAACTCAAATTCCTCTCGCTCTCCAATCCTCCTTCGTTAAAAGCCTCGATCATGAGAAAATGCAATTACAGTTCCTGAAGTAAAAACAAAAAACCCTGAACTTGAAGGATTATCCACGAGGCGTGAATCGTGGTTTTTGGGATGTTTTCAGGGCATGGTTAAGGTTTGCTCACTTCCAGGTAAAATAAATGTAAAGAAAACGCATTAATTAGGGTGTACTATTGGCTTTCTAACAATATCAGATATACTGATGCAATCTAACGCATCTGAATATATTACCAATATTTTCAGAGTTCCCACTAATAAAAAAGGCCACACCCTCCTGCATCTAATCAAAACAACCATTCCAACACAATGGAGCCCAACGACATCAATAACTCCTCAAGGGGTAGGGAGGAGGGGTATTCATAGGTAGTTTCAGCTTCAGTTTAAAAGCCTTTTGAGTCAGAAAACGGTAGAATGCCTTCTCCAGGTCAAGGATGAGGTCCTGCCTCAAGTGGAGGCGTTTAAGGATCTCAGGGTCTTGTTCACGAGTGAGGGAAAACTGGAGCGGGAGATCGACAGGTGGATTGGTACAGCATCTGCAGTGACGCGGGCGTTGTACCGGTCTGTCGTGGTGAAGAGAGAACTGAGCCGGACGGCAAAGTTCTCGATTTACTGGTCGATCTACAAATCTATGGTCACGAGTTTTGGGTAGTGGTCAAAAGAAGGAGATTGCAGAACATATGCGGCCAAAGTTTGTTTTCTCTACAGGGTGTCTGGGCTCTTTCTTAGAGATAGGGTGGGAAACTCGGTCATCTGGGAGAGGCTCGGAGTAGATCTGCTGCTCATCCACATCAAGCGGAGCCAGTTTGGGTATCTGGCCAGGATGTCTCCTAGATGCCTCCCTGGTGAGGTATTTCTGGCACATCCAACTGGGAGGAGACCCAAGGACATGCTGGAGGGACTTTGTTTCACATTTAATAAACAATGCCAATCATTTCAGATTTTACATTTTAATGCCAATATCGACCTATAATGCTTGGCCTATCATATCAGATTTAATTATTTGTTTATTGTGTTGGCATGAGGAGTCTCTTAAAGGTCAGCCTAAATAGAAGAAAACAAGCATTTTATTCTTCACTGTAACCACTGAGTGTAATTATGAAATCTCTAAACTTGAACTGGCAAATGAAGTTTTATTATTGATATTTGAAATGCGAAAGTAAATGCAGTCTGTATTCAGTTCAGTTGAATTTAATTTCATAAAACGCATATTTAAAAGCCAATGCACATTTAATCTACAATATATCTCATCAGAGTTGAATTTCATAATGTTTTATCTTTGTTATAAGAACACACACACACACACACACACACACACACACACACACACACACACACAGCCATAAATAAACAGGTTCAGAAAGTGGAAGATAAATTACATTAATAATGTATTATTTTAAATTGAAGTGTTGAACTGATTTCAAGAGGAAATCTGTGTTTGCAGGTTTAAATGTGTTGATGGATTATCTCACTTTCAAGTGAGCAATACTCATTCACAATTTGACAGCACCATTTGAATTGCTGCTCAATATTTAATGACTCTACCTACCTTAGATCTCAGTAAACAGTCGCTGAACAACGTGCCTTTGTGAGGGTCCCCTCTGTCCCTAGAAAAACAACAAATCAGCTGTTTCACATTCACACCCTGAAACATTTGAAATAACAACAAATCACATTTGGAGTGTATTTTTTGGACTAAAACATTTGGTTTATATAAGTAATATTGATTTAATCTGTTAGGGAAAAAACTTGTTTTGTTTTTTAAATATAATCAATCAATCAAATTGTATTTATATAGCACCTTCCACTGCCTTTACAGAAGCCCAAGGCGCTGAATATAACATAAAAACAACAAAAGAGCAAAGATACCACAACACAGATTAAAGCTGCATAAAAGAGTGATTAAAATAACAAAACAGAGACGATAAAAGACTACAATTCCAAAAATCCATATTACATAAATGCCAAACAATAAAAATAAGCCTTCAAATGACTCTTAAAGACCTACGCCCCCTTCAGACAGGCCATGAAAAACAGAAATGTTCGGGAATCTGTCCTTAAGACCTTTGTGTCTGAATACAAACATTCGGATAACCTTTTCCGTGATTAAACCGGACGAAGCCCCTAGTAACAGATCCGGACTTGTAATGGACAGGGCGGCTGCTTCAGACTGGTGAGGTCGAGTTCCGGACAGGGAGGAGGGGGAGGAGGAGGGGACCGGGGGACGCTGTGCGCTCCTAGATAGTTCACTCCTGCAGCATGCGGCGAACCATGGCAGCTCGCCTCCTACTGTACCATCCCCTAGACGCGCGACGGAGCGCTTCACACCACTTCCGTGATTCCTTTATTAACCATTGAGCTTCACCATCCAGGTCTCTTATGTGTCTTTGTGTGCGCAGAATTATGCTTAACATAAGTCCGATCAGTGAGAAGAATTCTATCTCTTTGTCAGCCGTGTTTGACTGAATGGCTTTGTTTGGGTAAATGACGCATGCACGCCCGCCGCACTATCTGGGTACAGCCTTCCCACCCCCTCCCCCTCAGACATCTGGAACTTTTCCCTGCTGTGTGAAGGCAGCCGAAAGGACAAGTTCAGGTACAAAAGTGGTGTGTCTGAAAACACAGTTCTGGTTAAAAACCGGACTAAATTGTCCACTCATATTCCAGAATGTCAATCTGAAAAGGGTTTTACAGCGATGGGGACTGTTTGACAACAAGTAGGAGCTTGTTCCATAGTGTTGGAGCTAGGACAGAAAAGGCCCTTGTTGTTCACCTCTTGTTTTCAGCCTTGTTAGCTGAGAGAAGAGAGTGCGTAGGGGCATGCATCTGAAGCAGCCCAGCCAGATATGGTGGGGCACCACCGTTTAGGGAACGGAAGACGAACAACAAAACCTTAAACTTTGCCCGGCAATCCACTGCGAGCCAGTGTAGGGAAGGCAGGACAGGAGAAATGTGTGTTGTTTTGTTTGAGCCTGTCAGGAATCTAGCTGCCGAGTTCTGAACCCAATGAGGATTGCTGTATACTTGATGCAATTTGCTGGGTTCCTTATATAGGAAACATTATTTCTGATTGGCTTAATGAACTGACCTGAATTGGAATGTTTATTATGTGAAGTGCCTTGAGACGACTCTTGTCGTGATTTGGCGCTATATAAATAAACTTGAATTGAATTCAATTGAACCAACTGCAACCACTTCAGTGCTGCCTGACTCAGCCCAACATACAGTGCATTGCAGTAATCAAGCTGTGATAAAACAAATGCATGCAGGACAGACTTGAGATGCGTCCTAGACAACATTGGCTTGATAATACAGCCGTGACTATAAAATAAGGAACAAGAACGTGCTAAGATGCTTAAAACTGTATATCTGGGATACATAAAAGATGAATTCAGTCTGAGTTCTTTCATTTGTATTCTTTAGCGACATCATGGTGGAACGCAACAAGAAATCGATGAATGCAACGACTTGAACCTAAAGAACACACTGAGGATTTTGCTTATTTAAAACTCCCAAAAGCCATTGGTGTCTAGGAAATGTAACGTATATACCTGACACATCCTAAAGGTTCCAACAAAAGCACGGGTAAGGATTTTTTTACTTTGATCTCCTCTTGTCTGAAGTTATTGATGTAGCTTCTGAGTCATTTTCAAAGAGCATGCAGATTGAATATAGATCAATAAGTAGTGTGAACATGCTTTTATTTATTTTTCAATTTTATAATGAAGAGAACCGGTCTACAGTGGGTTGGCAGAAAGCTGCTAATGCAGGAAATAAATCTTAATGTAGTTTACATTCTGAATCTGTTAAACAGGAATCTAGACTTATGACGATAAGGGAGGAATAAGTCTGGTTGGGACTAAATGTATAAAAGTACTTTTCATGGAAAAAGAATGAATATTTTTAGTAACAATACCTGTAATTTGTTTATAATCAATGAATCAGAATTTAATGACTAAAGGAATTTAAATCTAAAGGTGAATTATTTTTCCACTCATGTTTGAGTGAATTCACATCTTACGTTGTTGTTCTTCTAAGAAAAGTATGTTTTCTATTAAAACATGTCTGGAACTCTGGAGTTTACACAAGAACAGAATGAATAACTGGTTTCCAACCCACAATCAGCCATAACCATCAATACAAGAGTTGACGGTGGTAGTTTCAGATGATGAGATGATGGTAGTCTCTATACCACTTCTCTGAAAGCGACACAAGTCAACAGTGTGGGGTGGTCAAAAACATAACATTTAACATTCTGGTGATCACAGGGACCAGTGACGCCGGTGCATGGCAGCCTCGTCTCTGTCAGAGCATCCCAAATAACCCAAGCATGCAAGGAGAGGACATGCAAATGTTGTGTGTAAAGGCCAAAGCTGGGATTGAAAACGTAACTGTGTTTTGTAAAGATCCAAAGCTATCAACAGGACCCAGGAGGAAAGCTACCTAGTGTGGTTTTTGGTCAGCAAAGGGCTGCAGAGCGGTGTCAGATATGAAACTGGTCAACTTTCTAACTCAAAAATCATTGAGATCAATGTTAAATCTTTAGCTTAAAGTTTAAAACCTATAGCCCTTTGGACAAGACACACCATGCAGTCAAATCAGTGTAATATTACCGCGCCAGCATGGCGTTGCACGAATTTTGCGACATTTGTTCCGCTCCACTTGGTAGTAATATTGGGGTAATGGTCTGTCTTATAAACGGCTACTGAGCCATGGCGCAAAAGAGGGAGATGTCATGATGACGTAGGGAGTTAATGCCGAGCTCCGGCCAGCAACTTTACTGAAAATGAAAGTGAACCCGGGCCGTAAGTTTTGCTTTTTGAACAAAGTCAGCTGAGACGGCAAACTGGAGCACCACAGAGTGTCTCTCTGTTAGAGCTGGAGCTCAGATCAACAGAGACTGCACAAGGACTGATGGGGACAGACACCTTTTGGAGCGGCTTGTTAAAAAAACTTTACGATCGTGGCTTCAATCGCAATAAAAAACAAGTTATGTCCAATATGAAAGGAAGTCCACGGCAGCGCGGAAACCGCCCTCACACCCCCCTTATGCCGCCATCGCCCAATCTTTTATAAAAAGGACACGATTGCGTCACATTACCGCCACGGTCTGACCACTTATAAATGACCTAAGGCTCCCTGATGCCGCCACGGCGTTGCGGCAAATTGACAGCATTGTTTAGTAAGAAACGGTTTATCGGTTGTTACTTTAAAGAAAGAAAGCTCAGGAGACAAAGTAAAGCATTTTGTTCTGTGTCTTAACCAGATTTAAAGTTTGACGCTTGCCAATACAAGAAGCTCTTTGGATCATTCTTCAATTCTACTTTAGCACAAATTTGCCATCTTGTGTTGCTGCCATGTAGGCACGACGACAAGAATGATCTTTTCTAGGCTGCAAACCTTTCTTGACCCGTAACCTCAAATCAACATTTTAACCATCACACATGCTCAAATGACAAGGATTGACCCACACTTGTATATCACCTTTCAGAGTCAGAGGACTCCAAAGCGCTTGATACTACAATGCATCATTCATCCATTCACACACACACACACACACACACACACACACACACACACACACACACACACACACACACGCACGGTGATGAGCTACACTGTAGCCACAGCTGCCCTGGGGCGCGCTGATGGAGGCAAGGCTGCTGAGCACTGGCAACAACGGTCCCTCCGACCACCACCAGCAGCCAAGGTGGGTCAAGTGTCTTGCCCAAGGACACAACAGCAGAATACTCTGTCCGGAGCCGGGATCGAGCCCGGACAACCAGATCTACCTCTAGAGCTACTGCTGCATACATACAGAACTCCTTAACCAGTCGTTTTCACGCCACTGTCTTTGAAGAGAGAAAGTCTAAGAGTGAAGGCTGTAATCCTTCAGAGAAATGATTATCCTGTAAGCCAGGCTGTCACTCAGAAAAGAGCATCGATACTACAGAGCATGAAGGTACCCACCTTGGCAATAGTTCAACAGGGTGGGGAGCCACCAGTTGTTCCACTCTGCAGCCTCTCTCCACTCACCTTTGGCTTGTGGTTGAAATCACTTTTTGTTAGCTGTGTTTGTCTCCTATCTGGTACTCAGAGATAATATTTACCTTCAGCTTTCTGCTGTGTGCAGACGCAGGTTAGGATTTCTGTATGTCCTGTCTACATCTGTTACTCCGTGCATCCTGCCATTGAGATTCTGCTCACTCTACTCCGTCTAATTAGACTGAGGCAGTAAGAGCAAAACAAAAGCCTCTTCTTTTTTTTTTCTTCTTCCTTCTACACGTCCTCTCCCTCCTTCCATTGCTTTTAGCCTTTGCCTCCCCTCCCCCTGAATCCTCAGCTGGATAACAGGGAGATTGCGCTAATTGATTTGTTAAAAGCAACTTTATTTCTCATGCTGTTTAAAAGACTTCTCTGTTGTAAGATAAACCACATTTTTTTGTTTAAAACCTATGAATTGCATATGATACTTCCTCATCTTCTTGTTTCTTTCGTAACGAGAGCCTACACTTGTCATTTCAATACATCTGCTGTATATTGTGAGTCGTTTTCTGTGTAAATGGAGCTCTGGAGCTCCTGTTTCAGGAAGTAGAGGTTAGTTAGA